CGGCCTTGGACACAGGAGTGGACATAATGGGGCAGAGAGAGTATATCCTACAATGGCCAGCTCTTTGGATAGCAGTGGGTAATTCAGAAGCGTGGTTGGGTATGTAATAAGGGGACTATGAGGACTTTTGGTAAGTCCCTATCTTTTGAGGTTTTGAAATTTCCATCTAATGTTGATAACAAGAGTCAAGGAATGGGCTGGACCAGAAGGGAGAGGCTTCCTCATGTTTGGCAGGCTTGAAAGCCTGAGACAGTGGGCCTCTCAGAGAATTATCCCTCAGTGTTAGCCACACCCCTCCTAAGTGGTTCTCTGGGGGATGCATAGTACCAAGAAGCTCACTCCTGGGTAAGGCAGTCCTTTGTACTGTCAAAAGATTCTTTATGTTAAGCCTTTATCTTCCTCCCTGTTATTACCAATCATCCGTGCCGATTCTACCATCTGGAACAAGATATAAAATTAAGCCCTCTACTGGTCTTCTTCGCGCGACTCTCCCTGCGGGTTCTCTCTGGGCACAATGGCAACTCTTAAGGAAAAACTGATTGCACCAGTTGCAGAAGAAGAGGCAACCATCCCAAACAATAAGATCACTGTAGTGGGTGTTGGACAAGTTGGTATGGCGTGTGCCATCAGCATTCTGGGAAAGTCTCTGGCTGATGAACTTGCCCTTGTGGATGTTTTAGAAGATAAACTCAAAGGAGAAATGATGGATCTGCAACATGGGAGCTTATTTCTTCAGACACCTAAAATTGTGGCAGATAAAGATTACTCTGTGACTGCCAATTCTAAGATTGTGGTGGTGACTGCAGGAGTCCGCTAGCAGGAAGGAGAGAGCCGGCTCAATCTGGTGCAGAGGAATGTTAATGTCTTCAAATTCATTATTCCGCAGATAGTCAAGTACAGTCCTGATTGTATCATAATTGTGGTTTCCAACCCAGTGGATATTCTCACATATGTTACCCGGAAACTAAGTGGACTACCCAAGTACCGTGTAATTGGAAGTGGGTGTAATCTGGATTCTGCTAGATTTCGCTATCTTATGGCTGAAAAACTTGGCATTCATCCCAGCCACTGCCATGATGGATTTTGGGAGAACATGGTGATTCAAGTGTGGCTGTGTGGAGTGGAGTGAATGTGGCAGGCGTTTCTCTTAGGAACTGAATCCAGAAATGGGAACAGAAAACGACAGTGAAAATTGGAAGGAAGTGCATAAGATGGTTGTGGAAAGTGCCTACGAAGTCATCAAGCTAAAAGGATATACCAACTGGGCTATTGGATTAAGTGTGGCTGATCTCATTGAATCCATGTTGAAAAATCTATCCAGGATTCATCCAGTGTCAACAATGGTGAAGGGGATGTATGGCATTGAGAACGAAGTCTTCCTGAGCCTTCCATGTATCCTGAATGCTCGGGGCTTAACCAGGGTGATCAACCAGAAGCTGAAGGATGATGAGGTTGCCCAGCTCAAGAAAAGTGCAGATACCTTGTGAGACATCCAGAAAGACCTAAAAGATCTGTGACTTCTGGCTTCTAGGCTGTAGAAATTTAAAACTATGATGTGATTAACTGTGAGCCTTTAGTTTTTCATCCATATACATGGATCACAGTTTGCTTTTATCTGCCTAAATATGTGAATCTGGGCTCACAAAATCAAAGCCCATGCTTGGTTTAATGCTTGCAATATGAGCCCTTGAACAAATAAAATTAACTATTGCAGTGTGAAAAAATAATTAAGCCCTCTACCATGTAACATGCATTCAAACAGAAGAAGACCCCCTCAATTATTATGATATCCTACTTCTTTTATGTTAAGTATTTCATAGATGTTCTTTCAACTTATATAATTCCACAGACTTTATCACTCACTTTTCTTTCTCTGAAGTACTCTATTAGTCAGTGATCCTCTTAAAATATGGAACCTGGGACTGGACACTCCGTAAGGCCCCACATTGCATTGAAATAGCTTCAGAGGAGACCAAGTTTGTATCTTATAGAACAGAACACAGTTTGCAGAAAGAACATGGAAGCACTTTGCAAACTGTAAAGCCCATTTACAAAAACACAGTATAATACTTTGTAGATTTGCTTTTGTGTTCTTTAAATTGCATACATCAAAGGACTTAAATGACTGTTCAGAGCCAGTGGCTCAGCAATACCTGTAGTAAGAAAAGGCAACCTTAGTTATTTCTTAATTAAGACTCTTGTAGCATAAGAAGGTGTTGGGAAATTAATTTGACAGCCTAAATTAACGTGCATTACTTTAACAATTATCTCTGATTTATTTTGGAGAAACTCAGCAAGTATTGATTCATTTCTCCAGCCTTCTATGAGTAATCACATTCAAAGTAAACAACATCAATTATTAAGAATCTGCTTTTCCATGGTAACTAAATTTATACTGAAAGAGTGAATGTCAAAATGCACCAGAAGAGACTGTCTGAATAGATTTTTTGATAACTTTAAGAAAACCTCACAAAAAGCTAACTTATTTGCAAAACATGTCTTAATTTCTTTCTATATTTTCAGAGAACCACATTTTGGTGCTAGAAGGAAACTCAAGGATCATCCAGCCCAATTCAAACAGAAATACATGGAGTTAAAGATTTTATTACTATGAAAGCTGAATATTTAGTAACCTAATTAATTTTTATATCACTAGCAAAAAAAATTTAACTGGAGCAATTAATACTTAGATATTAATACTTACTATATAATACTTAATAATACTTAGCCATCATACAACATAAATGTGACTCAAATGTGGTTAAGAACCAATCCTAGCTGAGCCTAACTTAGAAGAGGGTGAGGAGACACAGTAGTAGGTAATGCTCCATTTCTTCTATCTAGGTAAATTCCTGAAATTTGAAGTTCAGAGTCAATTCTACTGGGCATTAAAAACATGTCAAAATGATTTGTTGATGTAAAATACGGTGGTAGTGTTTGATGATTAAGTGTGGGTTTTTAAATTTTTGTTTGTACTAATTTTTCTGTATCCTCTAATATTTTTTGCACTAAATATATCTCGTCATTTGAAGAGTCATATGCATCCATATTTTAGAGAAATATATTTTCTGTTTCTGATTATCTGATATAAACAGAAAACGAGGAAGTGACAAATGACTTCCTATTGCAAGTCTAAGTAGATTACACTTTATCTAAGCATTCATTTTATTTTGGTATTTAACCCTCTTTCCCAACTCTCTGGCCTGGTGGGAGTTGGACTAGGGGTACCCAAGCACCAGTGCCTATGAGGCAACCGGAACCTTCACTCTGGCTCTTCTCACCCAGATTCAAGTCCTTCCCAGCCCCTTCTTTCATCTCCATTTACAAATCAAAGAGGACGAGAAGGGGCAGCAGGCTGCCTGCAGGGTTGCTGGCTCTGTGCAGCTTTCTTTTCCTGGCCATAGGAGTAACCTACAGATGACTATATACAGAAACACTGGCAACAGTGTTGTGATAGATTTTTGGCTGGTTTAATAATTGTTTCTCTTTCCCATCTATATATTCTAATTTTTCCATATGGTAATATTATTTCATCTAAAAGTCAGTGAAAATTCTGTAAGATATGGTTGTGAGCAGCAGTGCTAGATACTGCTTAAAATGACTTTTTAAAATAGCTTAATTTTTATTATCTGCAATGCAGGAAGGCTGCAGAATTTTAGAAGAGGTTGGGATTAGTGATTTGCTTGTGATTACATAGCAAGGAAATGGAGAGATTCTAAAAGAATTTTCATTAAATAAATACCTTTTCCTGACATGTTTATTTTTTTCTGTTCTTTTGTATTCAGTCTTAAAAGCTGACACAATTCAGTAAGAAAGAGAAAAAGAAACCCTGGAACCACTTAGCATTTAAGAATAAAATGTATTATACAATGGATTTTTTTCCCTCAAAAACTAACATTTGCTCATTTTTCTCTACTTTAATAAACATCCAAGGCTAAATTGCTTCATAAGAACTGAATGTGGAACAGTAAGATCTGAGGGATTAAAAACTTATTTTGCAAGTATATAACATAAACAGAAACAAAGCTGATATTGGCAAATGCTCAAGGTAGAGAAATGCAGGGGAATGACAATGATTTTTGGAAGAAATTAGGTCGGTTGTAGAATATTCCTATTCTGGTTTTGTAAGTCAATCTAAAAAATTCTTAAATAGATGGATTGAGCCTATTTACATTGATGAATATAATGGATAAGTTTGGTCTTTTATAACCCAGAATTATATTTACTAGGTGTCTTTCATTAAGTAGTCTATTTTCTTTGCTTTTTAAACTTTTTCTTTTATTGTGTAACAGTTGTTTTTAAGATGTATATATCTTTAAATTACCTTCTTTTCATACTTTTATTTAATGTCTAGTCCCCTTCCTCCTTAGTTACATGTCAACTATTTTGTCAACTTCAAATAATTTCCTTTGACTTCTACCTCTTACCCTGGCATCCATTGAATGTATTCTCTCTTCTCATTTTTTTTGATGTGTTACTTTGATGGAACAAGGAATATTTACATACTAATTTTTCTCTCTCATTCTCACCTATGTTATAGTCTTAGATCTACAGTTAAGTATATTTAATCCTCATAACCAGTTCTTTTACTGGTTTCCTCAATCATCTCTTACTTAAATGAAGGTCATCCTTTAGTAGATTCCCCAGGAAAGACTCATAGGTGGTAGCCTTAATATTTGAAGAACAGCTAGGCTGGATATAAAATCCTTTATTTACCCCTTCTTTCTTTAAGTTTATAGAGAAGTTTGCTGTACTCCTTCTTGCTTTGATTGTTGCTGACAAGAAGTCTGATGCCAATCCTATTTTTTTTTCCTTTGTAAGTGACTTTGATTTTGCCTGGAAACCCAGAGGGATCTTTTATTTCTAAAGTTCAATGATTTTTACTAGGAGATGTCTCACAGTTTACTCTTTTGCATTTATTTTTTGAGATAAAAGATGAATATTACATTCAATATACCAATCCAAGTCTTCCTTTATTTCAGGGAACTTTTCTTGAATCAAAATATGTGCAGTGGCAGTATCGTAGCCAATGAGGTTTATCTGAGATGCGATTATTGCTACTTGAAAAATTTCCCAATACTATGAATCAATTAAATATTAATTCCCTTTCATTAAGAACTAGGGTGCTGGAAAAAGGGTTATGAAAGATTTTTTTTTACTCTATGTGTTCTGTGCTACATGTTACCTAGGCAAAAATAAATAGTTTAAAAAACCAGAATATTCATTTAATATATTGAATATGCTATTCATTGTTCATCACTCATTATCAGTAGAAGTAGGATGAAATACTAAAGGTACCTGGATATTGAGCAGATGCTGTACAAAACAATTTAATGAAAGTAGATATCGTGTCTTTTATTAGGTCACTTTTAAAGCCACTACTCAATGTTTTATTTTTGAATATTCACAAAAGAAATTAGTTGATTAGCTTAGAAGCAAGAAAAAGTGTTTCTTCTGGGAGTCTGATTTGGATTTTCAACTTGTATATACTTAAGTATGCCATCATTATGTTTTATTACTCTCTTTGGCAATTAAAATTGTAATATAAGTTACAATTAAAAATTTTTAATTAATCAAAAAATTAAAAATAGAATTGATATGAACCAGTAATATCCTCTACTGGGTATTTACCCAAAGAATATGAAAACACAAATTCAAAGGGATATATGCACCGTTATGTTTATTGCAGCATTATTTACATAGCCAAGGTATGGAAGCAGCCCAAAGGTCTGTCCATAGATGAATAGATAAATAAGTTGTGGTATATATACATGTATAAAATTGATTATTATTCAGCCATAAAAAAGAATGAAATCTTTCCCTTTGCAAGAACATGGATGTATGCAGAGGGTATAATGCTAAGTGAATTAAGTTAGTCAGAGAAAGACAAATACCATATGATTTCACTCATATGTGGAATTTGAGAAACAAACAAAAAAAAGGAAAAGACAAAAAAAACAGAATCTTAAATACGGAGAACAAACTACGGGTTGCCAAAGGGGAGGTGCATGGAGGGATGGGTGAAATAGATAAAAGGGATTGAGAATACACTTGTATTGATGAGCACTGAGAAATATATAGAATTGTTGAATCATTATATTGTATACTTGAAACTACTTTAACACTGTATGTTATACTTTAATTACAACAAATTAAAAATGGTAAGAGAAAAAATCAATCTGAACTATAATTGTATTACTGAGAGTAACATCATATCTTTGTTCTTAAACAGAATTTAAAATAACTAGAGTCAAATTTGTGATCTGTCCATAGTTAGTGAACAGCATTTTATGGCATGCCTTTAACAAATAAATTATGAAGTCCATTCTTCTATTTCTATGTCCCTATCCTTATTTTAAGTTAAGGCTTTGTAGCACATACAATTTGAAGAAAACCTCAATAAATGTAAGCTAGCTGTATTTGTTTTTCCTATTTTGATATATTTTATAGAGCTCTGTATGTTTATTTCAGTCATTTTTAAAAAAAATGCATGATGTAGAGAGATGGGATTATAGAGTCATATAGCCCCCTCCTTTTTAAAAATGTGAATGTATCGGAGTAACTATTTATATTACTCACTAGAACCTAATTATATCACACTTTCTTGTAGTATGGCTTTCTGTGCAGCAAATGTTTGTGTGAGAACAGCAGAAATGGGAAGATTGGGTAGCTTTCTAAAATATAGAAATATTTAAGTTTTTGTCTTGTGAGCCACCATAAACAAAAACAAAAACAAAAACAAAAAACCAACAAAAAAACAGCCAATGAGGAAGGGGTTTAGAAATCTAAACTTTAAACTAGTTATGCTAAACTTGGCATAACTAGTTTTCCAAGTCAGGAAAACTTTGAGATTTTCCTTTCTCTTTCCTTCAATTTCCATTGCATTCCCTCTCCAGATTGATTTCTTCAAAGTGGAGGTTCTCCATTTTCTCTTGGGGCAGAAAAGGTGGTAGAAGGGAGAAATTCTTTTGACTATTTAAGTAGAAATTTGAGGGGTACCTGGGTGGCTCAGTCGTTAAGCATCTGCCTTCGGCTCAGGTCATAATTGCAGGGTTCTGGGATGGAGCCCAATCCTGTTCCATGGGAAGCCTGCTTCTCCCTCTACCTGTCCCCCTGCTTGTGTTCCCTCTCTATGTCTCTCTCTGTCAAATAAATAAATAAAATCTTTAAAAAAAATAAAAAACAAATAAATAGACATTTGAGGGGCACCTGGGTGGTTCAGTTGGTTAAGAGTCTGACTTTGGCTCAGGTCCTGGGATCAAGCCTTGTGTCAGGCTCCCCACTGAGTACGGAGTCTGCTTGTCCCTCTCCCTCTGCCCCTTCCCCTGTTCATGCTCTCTCGCTCTCTCAAATAAAATCTTCAAAAAAAATATATTTGAATTGGAATTCTAAATTTGTCAGTTACAAGCTTCATAAAAATGAAAAATTTATTTAACCCCTTGAAGCTCTCATTTTTTAATAAAAAACATAAAAACACCTACTTTACTTGATTTTGGAAATTAATTGATAGCATGTGAAAACTGATTAACACAGGTTAAATATATGTCAGTTCACTTATCTTTTCTGCTCTCGGTGCTTCATTTAGAATAACTTTCAAAAAGGCTGGCTTAACAAAAATGAGTTCCTGTGTTATATCTCTTAAGGATCATATGACATTACATAATTCTGAAATTAAAAAGCAGCCTTATGGATAGTCCCCAATTTAGTATTCCTTGCATTATTTTTTTTATTTAGTGGCATTTATTATGATATTTCTATATTATTTTCCATTTCTTGTATCTCATCAATTGATTATAGGAACAAGGCATGCATGTATCTATGATTGGGTGAGACTAGGGTATATTAGAGAATCTAAAGTTCATAGATGTAGGTAAGAAATCAGAGTGTAAGAGATAATACTTGAAGGTAACAAAAAGCCCTCATACTTTTAGTAAAAACCTGGTTGTTCTATAACCAATCACAAAAACGTCCACCTGAAATGGTTTTATTTCTGTCTAATCAATCACTGACTGTTCCATATCCATGGTTCTAAGAAATCACCAAAACTGATTTTAAATTTTCTTAATCAATCAATGACAGCAGCTTCAGTGAATGTACTTATAAAAGTCAACCAGTCAGTGATAACCTCATGCCTTGAAAGTCAGCCAATTGGTGGCAGACTCATTCCTTTGAACACACTTTTAAGGCTGCCATCAACCCATCCTGCCTCTGTAACCAACACAAAATGCACTTTTATGTCCAATATAAAATATGTTTCTAAGACTGACATCACCATAGTCTTACCTTTGTAGCAAACATGTCTCGAAACAAAATTTTCCCCTCAATCCTCCATAATATCAGTGGTTTATTTTGTCAAATCAGAGGGTATCTAGCATTGCTCTTCCTTAATTAAGAAAATGATACTTTTAGCCCTGAGTTTTGTTTCAAATTTTGAGTAGTGGTCTCAAACTTTGACATCTTCCTGATTTAATGGAGGGCGCAAAAGCTGCTAAGCAGATTATTTTCAAGATTTAAGAAACGCTGTGATAATCATTAGGAGTTAGTGTACATTTCTCAAGAAAAGTCCAAGCATTATAACTTTAATTTCTTTGCTGCTTCAGTTAATTCCATAGTACTTATTATCTACTATGATGGAGGCACCAGTCAAAGAATTGGACACATATAAACTAATAATATGTGGTCCATTCCTTCAAAGTCTCAGAATATAGTGGCAGAGACAGATTACACATATAATTGTAGCAAAATACAAGGAATGCTGTAAATGGAGTCTGTAGAGTAAACTAAGATAATAAAGAAGGAAGCTTTGCTATCTTTGTGGTGGTAGTGGGCTTGAGGATGGGGACTCACTGAGTAAATAACACTTGAGTTGCACCTTGAAAAATGTATAGACATTGAAGCAACAGAGACAGTAGGAGATGGTAAACTGGCAACTACAAAGACTCATAGCCATGAGCAAGTATGGGATATTTGGTGAGTTCAAGGAAGTTTATAGTGATGGGTAAATGAGAGGAGTTACAGTGCTAAAACAGGCAAAGATATGGAGGACCGGTTTGTGGAGAACCTTTTCTGAAGACAGAATGGGAGAGGAGCAAGACTAAAAGCCAGTTGTCCATAACTGACATAGTACAAGTCTGAAATAGTTTAATGAATGCCTGAGCTAAGGCCATGGAAGATGGGGATGATGAGCAGGAGAGAGAAGGTGGGTGGATGATGGTGTTACTACACAAGGCAGGTCTTGCTAGAAAGGGTTATGGGTGTAATGGCAAGATAAGGAATCTAATATGAGATATATTGAATTTGAGAGGACTTAGAGATTGGCTCTTGGTGTGTAGATGTGTTAAATCTAATCCTCTGAGAGGTAGCTGCCAAGATAGGATCAAGTATGCAAGAGAATTATTGGGGGAAATACTCATGAAGGAGAAAGAGGAAAAAGGCAGGGAGATCCTTCAGACCACAAAGCAGGTCTGACATCTGTGATTAAGGAGAGGGGGAAGGAAGAAGATTTGGGAGGGAAGAATCAGACTACAGCAGTCCTAAGAAAGTTTTCTCCAGGCCAAAAGCAGTCCTCAAGCCAAAGTCACTTATTAGAGGAGTCCTGTGTGCTACAGGGATGGCCCTGCACTAGAATCCCACCTACTCCATCATTAGTGGGGAGCAGCCCAGGGAAAGCATGGCCATAGTGTAGATGTGGTAGTTGACCCATAAGGGCAGCAGTGGGGTTGTTAGTCAACTCAGTTCCCTGTAGCAGGAGATTGGAGTTCATTTTCATGGCAGCTACAGTAAGTGAAAATTGAACTTCTGGCTGAATTTATCACTCAAGTAGAGGAATGAACATGAGAAGAAGAATGTGGGAAGGACTCTTGAGCTAACGTGTGTAAATGATTGTGAAGGAAGCTAAGTCAATCAAGAAGATCTAGAATTGATCAGAGGAATTAGGATCAGCATTGAAGATTTGAGAGATTCAAGGAAGAGACTATGATCAACAGCATTAAGTGCTACAGATATGATAAACAGGATAAAGACATGAAATAAATAACTGAATTTAAGATTTGTGGATCACAGATGAACTTGGAAAGAATAGGTTCAGTGGAAGGATGAGATTATAGCAGTTATGAAACCCTAATGAAACCTTCAGTGA